TCTTGATTTCCTGCGTGACCAGAAAGCCAGAGTCGGCACGTTCATCCTTACACTAAGCAGCTTTGCTTGAATTGGTACCTGGGAAAACTGGGATAATTCCTGTGTTTACATACTCCTTTCAAGCAGGGCAGGAGCAACATTTGAGAGGGATTAGCAATCAAAAATTGAGAATCTACCATCACCACACAAACTTGCCTTTTCATTTTGGACAGATCATAAAACACGTAACACGGGCCAGACCCTTGTCCAGCAAACGTTCGAATCCTAATTTTTAAAAATAGCTTTTATATGCGATCGCTCTCTTTTCAATAAAACAAAGATTTGTTTATAGCTGCAATTTAATTAAGAACCTTTATGAAGAGGAAGATCTGGAAACCAGGGATCTTATTTTTTTTCCTCTCTCTTTTTTTTTTTCCACCAGAGTTGTTTGTTTATTGGTTTAATTTTCCCTGAAGTAAAAATACACTTTGAAATGTAACATGTCATTATGTAATTTGTAGTAACAAAGTGCAGGCCCTTGCACACGACAGCAAACAGGACTGCTCCGGCTCACAGACGGCCCCCACATCCATCCCCCACCCTCATCTGATTAACAGCCTGTGTAAACATTCAGCCAACCAGAACACTGGCCAGTGCAAAATTTGGTCAGCCATAAAACTGCCAGCCAAACACAGACATGGGGGGTTTGTGCAGAAATCTTAATTTGGGGGAAATGATCAAAACTAAGACGACATGGCCCCAAAGGAGATAGGGAAGGGCTGACCTTTATTTTCATTAATCCTTCCCTCTCCCTGCAACAGAGAGGGGTGATATCACCACCACCAAGGTGAAACGTTGAAGAAAATGCCCCTGAAATGTAGGGTTGGGGAGGGAATAGAGGCAGAAACTCAACCTCTTTAAGGAAAATCTCGGAGAAAAAAAATAAGCTTCTGTTTTAAGGAGAAACTTTAAACTGTCTGAATTGTTTGAAAAGGTCCTATTTTGACATATCCTGGATGGATTCCCTCCATCAGCATGCTTTCTATTGGTGTAGGGAGAACTAATATGTGTTCTGATTGTGTAGAAATTAATGGAATTGATACACAAAGGGGTGTTTGTGAGCTTTTTTTTTCTTTCCCACAAATCTCGTTGCTCTTGGCAAAAGACCCCTCACATAATGGAAAATTCAAAATGTTCATAGTAAAAAAAAAATAAATAAACTTATTTAGATTTTTGTTTTAAGACTACTCTTTAGCAAGATGGCTAACATTTTTTCTGGCTTAGGGCAGTATTTCATAGCTCATTTTGGAGGCCACCTGACACCTAATTTTTAACAAAATTGAGTCTTTTTGTTAAATTCACGTTTAAAAAAAATACACTGGTGGTAATGGCAGTGACAAAGGCAGATTGCATTAGTCTGGTTCCTTCTCCTGAATGGCTCCCGGGGTTACTGATTATTATAGGGAACCGACCCTCATTGAAATTCCCTACAATTCTCACCTTTGCTCTAGTCATGCTCTTTCATTTTAAATTTCTATTTTGCTTAAAAAACCAGTATGATCAGCCATTTTATGATGCTCTCTAGGATTGTCTGCATTTTCTTTGATTTATCTGATCATACTCATAAGTGTTTACATTTGCCTTTCACAAGAGTCTCCAAGTTTCATTCTGGGTGGTTTTATGTTAAAGAAATTGATATAACTAAACATAATGTAAGCTCCAAATAGAAAAAGAAAATATATTGACATGGTGAGCCTTTTTTTTTTTTTTCCCAGACACTGGGTGAAGCACTTCCCAAATCATTTAATTACTCACAAAACCCTGAGTTGGGCAGGAGTATTATCACCTCTTTACAGATTTGGAAACTGAGATACAAAGGGTCTGAGTCATTTGCCCCCAGCCAGAGAGCCACAGAGCTGGAGTAGCGGCCCTGGCAGCCTAATGCAAGAGCTGGTCTAATTCCCCTCCTCGATGTGACACCACTGCCTTGGTGGGGCAGCAGCTCTGTCTCAGAGCCTGGGACTCGCTGCAAAGAGGCAGATGGGTGGGGAGCCCTTCACAGCGCTTTCCTGGGCTAAGTAAGTGAGGTGGCCTGGGGGAACTGAAGGGGCACAAGATTCAGAGTTTAAAAAACCATGATTCCTTTACAAGCTCAGCCACAGATGAATCGTACCTTGGAAATGTTTCCTCACCTCTCTAAGTCTCTGTTTCCTCATCTGTGGAGAGGAGAAAATTTTGTGCAGTTTACACGAGGTAGCATTTTGTGATGCTTCACAGAAGGCTGTTGACTCTTGATGTCTCCCTTCCACCCTCATCAGCTTACATCACCTTGCAAGAGGCTTTCATCTCTAACTCCACTAAAACAACTTCCAAAATTCCACTCCTGGCATATAGCTTGCTGGCAAGAGTTTTTCATCCTAAGGAAAAAAGTTTCAACAGAAAATGTTTTGTTACCTTTTTGTTAAACTCATTGCCTCATACTGAGTTGCTTGCGCTCAGGGGAACAAGTTGGGTCTTCTACTCCAAGTGAGTTAAGAGGAGGCAGTTCTGCCTTCAACTCCCTAAACCTGCTGTTAGATAATTTCTAACATTCAAGATTCAGGGATGTTCAGTTCAAATGAATGTGGTCACGGTGTGTGGGCAACAGTTTTGTCAACAGGTGAAAGAAGAGCAGAGATGTTAAAGAAACCTCCTCTTTGATGGTGCATTCACCAACTTGTGGTTGTTGGACCTTCTCTGTCCCAGCCTGCCTTCCGTGAGTTCCTTCATTGTTGGAGTCAGGGGCAAGTTCAGACAAACTACAACACAAAAGCCTTCTGATGGTTCCATGAAACATGCTTCCAATTCTGTGAGCTATTTAACTTTAATCTGTCTTGAAGACCACTAGAGATTTCCATCTTCTTGGGATGGCAGAAAGCTTGAGGCTCTTCTAAATGACCTTCACAATCTTACACATCTCTCTGAAAACATTTCAGTTTTCCCCACTTCATCCCCCGCCCTCAACTCCAGCCACCGCATGAGCGCTTGCGCAGAGTAGAACCTTAAATGCTTCCGATGATAAATTAGTTGTCAATACACAGACAAGTCACTTTTTCCGAAGCCTCCTGGACTAGAAACACATTCTACTTCCTCTCAAAGGCCCCAGAGCTACCTGCGCATTACCATGCACTGAAGACAAATGTTATTCACATATTCAAGCTGCATTAATCTGTTGAAAGGAGGATAGATTCTTAAATGGAGTTTTAAACAATCCTCCCCTCCGAGATCATCTGTGCTCACAGCCCAGTATTTGTACAAGATGAAATGATTTACAAAATCGGGCCTGGAAAAATTAGAGGGCAACTCCAAAAGGCAAGAGCGTGTTGCAGTAGATCATTCATCCTGCCAAGGAAACTTTTGTAGTCTCCAAAAGGCTATGAGACACTGCTCTCTATCCAGGGCAAAGGACTCATCAAAAAGGCGGGAGGTATGTTGGCTACGCAGCCAGCATGGAGAGCCGGAGGTTTTGGCAGGGCACTTCCACCCTAAAAGCAGACAGAGTCCTGGAAGGATGCTCGCATAAACAAAGCAGGGAGACAGCTTCAGCTCTGCAGTGAGGCTCACCCTTTCCCAGATCAAAGCCTGCGCCAGAGAGACAGCTCTGTGGAACACAGTGTCCTTTCTGGAACATCCAACTCCGGGGGAGAGACTTGAACTGGAGCCACCATCTTGCCACCTGTAGCCAATGGCTTAGTGTGCAAAGGCTCTCCCAGGGTGGGGGGACTGCAGCTGCTCAAACAGCAGAAAATCAATGGAAAGATAAGACAACACAAGGGAGAGAAGTTTCCACCTCAAACTATCACAAGCTCAGATCAGCTAGTTTGCGGAAAAAATTGTATCCAGCCAACCCTGTCTATGGAGTATAGAAAGGGGATGAAAATTGGTACAGGGTCGTGGTTAAGAACACAAGTTCCAGGAGTGTCTTGGTGGCTCAGTCGGTTGAGCGTCCAATTCTTGGTTTCAGCTCAGGTCATGGTCTCAGGGTCCTGGGATGAGCCCTGGGTTGGGCTCCATGCTCAGCAGAGAGTCTGCTTATCCCTCTCCCTCTGCTCCTCCACCTGTGCTCTCTCTCTCTCTCTCTCTCTCTCTCTCATAAATAAATAAAATCTACAAAAAAGAAGAAGAAGAACAACAACAACACAAGTTCCAAAACCAAGTTGCTTGCCTTTTGCACTCTGTTCTGTCACTTGCTAGGTGTGTAAACTCCAGCCGATGACTGGACTTCCCTATGCCTTAATTTTCTCACCTGCAAAATGGACCTGATAGCACCTGCTCCACAGGGTGGTTGACCCATAAGAAAGCTCTAAAAAGGTTGCAATTATTATTCGAAGTAACACAGTCCTGATTTTATACAGGTTCTGCTACTTAGTAGTTTTGTGAACTTGGAGAAACAACACAATTTGGGGGCAACTTACTCATCTGTAAAATGGATTTTAATACAATGCTGGCAGTGTTGCCACAGGATTTGATTTTTATATGGCATACAGTAGATATTCAGTAAATGGAACTTCTGATTATTATTATTTTTCCTGTTTTTCAAAGGAGGGAGCTCACAGGATTCGTTAGACTGGAAGACATACCGCCAGTGAAACTTAGAACCCTCTTATGCTCCCAAAGCTTTATCCATATGCAAATGAGATACGTCCCTGGGGATGCCTGGGTCCTAGGTGTTTTAATACACAACTAATTTTATTCTAAGAGAGAAAAAAGAACCTGGAAGTGTTCCCGAATTTAACATCTGCACGCGGAGGGGATGACGAAATGCATTAGTCCTGAAGAATAACGTTCTCCCATCTTCTCGGAAAACATCTGGGGTATTAGCCTCCCCTGCGCTCATTCCCCCCCCCCCCACCTCCCACCACAAAGCTGGCTCTCTGCTGACAGTTTATCAGAGATAAATGGAAACACCTGGGAGCCAGATAAGGCCAACTGAGTGTGATCAGCTGAGGAGCCCTTGGGGACGCATGCCACTCAGTATTTCTTTCTCCACACCAGGCAGGGTGGGAGCACGATCTGGCCTGTGACGGATGGCGAGGCTCGCTCTCACATCCATCCTTTCCTTCATTCATTCCAACCTCAAGAGGCCAGCCTGCCCGGCTTCCCGCCTGACCTAGGTCAACACTGAAACCACCAGGTAAGTCAGATGTTCATTGATCCTGCTCTTCATCATTTCCGCAAGAAGACTTTCAGGAACTAACTCTGTGTTTTGTTCAGATCTTTGATCACCTTTGCCTTTGTCAAACCAAGCCCTCTCTGGTTAAACCCTCTTATCCCTACAGAGATGTGCAGCTTCCTATAGGCTCTTGTGCCCTCTGGTCACTCAAACAAATATTTTTGTGGCCATCTCCACCTTCCCAAACTGGAACAATTCTTAAATCTCTTTTCTTCCCATGTCTCTACATTATTCTAGACTAAACAGTCCCTGTCTCCTTTAACCTTTCTTCAGAGGTCCTACTTGCTCCCTTTCAATTAGCTGATTCCTTTTCTCTCAACTCATTCCAGCTTCTGCACATCATTTAGAGACTGAAACTTGACACAGAACTCTAATACTTGACAAGAGATCCAGCTGCTATTCAAATGAGATTATTCCAGTGTGTTTTAGCACAGCTACTACCTGGATATATGATCCCTAAGCAAGTCGCCTAACATTTCTGGGCCTCGATTTCTTTAGTTGTGAAATTGTTTCAGTCATAAAGAACAAGGACTGTGAACATGGCATTAGGAAGACAAACCAGCAGCCAACAGAGACTTTCTAAAAGAACTGAATAAAGAAAGACACATAGGGGTTAACTAGATTTAAAAAAAAAGGAAAAGAGAAGAAAGCAATCCTAGCGGCAACTACATATCCAAAGGTCCTGGGGCCTGAACTCCTTTGAACCACCATGATCAGATCCCAGAACACATGGAAACAGGTCACAGAATGATGAAATGAAAGTAAAGGAGATAAATGCCAGATGACATAGGGCTTTGTTAGCTAAGATAAGGATTTTAGTCTCTCTCCTCAAGGCACAGAGAAGATGAGACACTTATAAAGAGCACATTTTGTACAATTTCCAAGGAAAGTAGCTACAGAAGGGATTGGACACAGGGAAGACATGGTGTGTGTAGAAGACGCTGGAGGTAATCTAGGAGTGAAAGTGTGAGAAATTGTACTGTGGTGGCAGCATGAAGACAAAGAGGCATGGACAGATTTGGAAATGAGGATCAACAACCCTTACTGATGCAGTGAATATGGCAAAGAGGGAGAAGGAGGTGTGAAGGATGGTTGCCAAGTATTTGTGTGCTCATCTTCGGATGGCGGTGCTGTGTATTGAGAGCAGGAATGTGGGGGGAGAGATACAGGTTGCAGGGAGAAGGTTTGAGTTCAATTTTTGGCCATGTGGAGTTTGAAGTGCTGTGAGATGGCCAAGTCAAGATGTTGAATAGGCAAATGGATTTATGGCTGGGGGCTCTGGGGAGAGACTAGGCTGGAGATATAGATTTAAGAGTCATCAGCATATAGATAATAATTAAAACCATAAGCATGGACAAGCTCACAGACAGAGGGTGTAGGATGGGAAGAACAGGGCAGTGGATCAAGCCTTGAAATTTTCCAATATTTAACAGTCAGTAAAATGGACGATGAGCCAGGAAAAAGACCAAGGAGAATCCCAGAGGTAGGAGAAAATTAGGAGGGTGTTAGGTCATGGAACCCAAAAAAGAGGGTGTTTTGAGAAGAAGGGAATGTCAACAGCAAGGCTGTTACATTTCCTTGTCTTTAATGACCTAATCCAGGTGACATTCCCATCAAACTTTCATGTGTGTGCACAGTGCTGAGTTTTTCCAACTTGAAATTTTGCCATTTTCCCTATGCATACTGTGGCTTATTGTTGGGTGTTGTGACCAAACTTTCTATCCAACCGAATTAGTATAGAACACAGGTTACACCTCATTTATCCAGAAGATTCTGCTATCCAGAGTGTGGTCAAGAATTAGGGAGGGAAAAAACCCCGAAAAACTTAATGATCATTATGAAATTCTCACCACGAATATTTGTGCATTTACGAAGAGGAGCTCTTGTTTAGCTTTCACTTAGAACCTTTATCTTGTAAGTCCTGAAAGAGTTGATATTTGGTTTCTCAGTGCACAGTGAAATGGAAAGAACTTTGCAGCGAGGGGCTGGGGGGAGGCATGGCTCACAGAGGCATGCAAAAATTGTGATAGTACAGTCCAGTCAGCGGTCCTTAGGAAGTAGGTTAAAGTATACAAAAGGCAAGCAAGAGAACAAGACATTATAGCACTCTGAGTTCATGTAGTGAGGCATAGATACATCCTACTCCTCAGTAATCCTAGGGAAAACATCCCGCTATAATGTCTCATAATAACAGAGTAATCTGATACATTTTAAATACATGTTTGTGACATCAAAATATAATTTTTTTCAAAATAGAAATTTAAGAAGCCTATCATGTGGTTTTCCATATTCCTTCGTCCCTTGTATTTGCTATAAACTGATCATTAGAGTGGGCGGCTCAATGGGATTCCAGTTAAATTTTTTGGTAAGCATTCATCATAGGAGGTGATGTGAATCTCAGGTTATTCTGAGATGTTAGGATTGGTCCAGGGGGTCAGGTCAACTGTAACACCCATTTTGAAGTTCTTGTTGACCTCTCACCTAACGGTTTTACAATTATCATTGCCTGGATTTATTATTTCAGTTGGAGTCAAAAGGCCTGGAGTGTGGCAATCACCTTATTTCTTCAACAAACAAATTGCAAAGAGAAAAGGAACGAGGGGAAGCCACAGATTGAAAGAGGCACAACCACCAAAAGCGGTATGAAGGCGTTGTTCCGCTTATTAGTAAATAAACATTTATGAGTTTATGGGGTCATTTGGACACTGATTGGAAATGTGATCGTATTAAGGAACTGCTATTTTTCGATGTGATGACAACGCTGTAATGATGTATTTTTAAAAGCTGCTGTTTATCGAGATAGTACTGAAGTACCTATTGATGCCATGATATGATGTCTGGTATTAGCTTCAGAATAATCCAGGGGGTGAGGCGACGGGCCCTGGAGGTGCCAGGCAGGGGGCCCGTAGAGGAACAAATGAGCAGCCCTGAGAGTGGTTGAAACTGGATGTTGGGAACCTGAGGGTTCACGTGCCTGTTCTCTGCCTTCTCTAAATGCTTGAAATGTTCCTTTTAAAAAGCTGAAAAATAGGGGGAAAAAAAGTCATTTCTTTTTCACCTTGTTATTCTGGAAGAAAAGATTTCTACAATGTTTCCTTCAGCAGGGCAGACAGATAATTTGGAGCATCTGAAGAGACATGCCTGGAGCCACGGGGGCGCCACTGTGGGTACCTCATTACTGAAACACCAAAGCGACGCCAGCGGCGGGGAAGAAAGCACTGCACATCCCACACGGTGACGGGCTAGAAAGCTTCACTGTCTCACTCAGAAACTATTTCTAATCGAAGACACTCCCAGACTTCAGTTCTGACAGCAAAACCCTATGGCCCTCGGCAGTCTGACTCAGCAGGCTGGCTGATGGGAGGGCTCTGGGCCTCAGTAGCCCAAGTTTGAAGTCCGATTCTCTTCCCTTTCTCCCTCCTCTGCTCCAGAGAAGTCACCATTTGTTGGCTGACTCAGTGGTAGCTTCAGGGGAAGCTGGTGGCTGGGGGGGACCAGTTCAGGGACTAACCAGGGTCCATCTGAGGCTTGTATACCCCCCTTACCTGTATTTACGCTTTTACTGTTGCCTGAGTTCAAGAAGACCATCACCTACTGAAATCCTACTCATTTTTTAAGAACTATTTTAAATGCCATCGAACTCCCAGATCTTTTCCCAGCCTGCTCATCAAAGCTAAGCTCTTTCCCAGCCCACCCTTCCTCTGAACCCCCCAACTTCTTTTTTTTAAGATTTTATTTGTTTATTCACAAGAAAGAGAGAGAGAGGCAGAGACACAGGCAGAGGGAGAAGCAGGCTCCATGCAGGGAGACGGACGTGGGACTCGATCCCAGGTCTCCAGGATCAGGCCCTGGGCTGAAGGCAGGCACTAAACCGCTGAGCCACCCAGGCTGCCCTGATCCCCCCAGCTTCTTGCTTGTAGGCCTTATATAGTATGTTTGAGTATCCAGAGCCCTGGCTGGGTGGTCAAACTCTCGATGGCTGGAATGTGTCTCCTCCACCTGTGTACCCACTGTCCCCGAGTCACCCCCTGTCCCCAGCTGCTCTCTGCTGGTGTAGAGTGGCTGCGGAATAGATGAGCTCACCCAAGGCCTTGCAACCGCCTTCCACCACCCAGCCCCTCTGCCTCCTTCCTGCCACCTCTCCTTTTCCTTCTGCCCCCTCTCCCCACAGCACCTCTCTCTATTTCCCTCAGTTGAGAAGTGAGAGCATCGAACATCGGAAAAGAGGAGGATTGATTTCACACCCGGGCCTCAGGCCGTCTGGGCAGATTGCCGGTGCCAGGCCATTTGTCTGGTGGGTGCAGAAGTGGGGGGGAAATCTCAGCCCTACCGCCTCACACGCCCATCACCGCTTTCTGGATCAGCAAACCCCTCTCTCAGTCAATAGGAGCTTTGTGAGCCAAACAACAGATGCCACAGGGCCTCGAAGGCAAATAAATATGGTTATTCAACGTTCTATCGCACTGTGTATAATTCAGGAAATTCAATTATGGTTTCCCCGGCAACAGTAACACAACTCAGGCAGGGCGCACAGGCCTTGTGTTCTGGTGCACAAGGGGTTGACCCCGACCGCTTCACACATCGGAGACAACGCAATCTGGGCAGACTTACAGTTATTATTGGAAACCTCAGTGGGTCCTCCTGAAGCCTGCTCTTTCTAATTTAAAGCTGTTTTTCAGCATTGGTTATAAAGACTTAAAAAGAAAAAAAAAAAGCACTCACACAATCTCAGATATATTTAAGTGTGGGATGATTAAGCGACACGGGTACAAGTTCAGAATCTGGAGATGGTTGAGGCATGGAAAAGCAGAGCAGGACCTCTTTGGGCTGAGGATTGTCAGGATCAGACCTGCCTACTGCCCAGAGCTGGGGTTTCGGCCTGCGGTCTATGCTGTCCCTAGACACCAATGCCATCGTGGCTGGGAGAGTCTGGCACCAGCTCGGCTGCAGTAGACAGCTGGTCTACTGTCTAAGTGGCTACAGAAGCTTAGGCAAAGGTACTTGCCTTTTCTGTGCCACAGCCTCCCCACCCACGAAATGGGATGATGGTGTTAGTACACTACAGGGTTATTCAGTTGGTGTGGCTTTGGAGCAGAGAGTATTATTGGACCACTTGGCGGGATTTACTCATGACAACACTTAGCCATTTTTCATGACCCCACTTGTAATTCTGTGCCTGAGCCAAGATCAGAATTGGGACATGTTACATATGCACTACCTTGAGTTGGTTCTTTTTTTATTTTCTTAGCAAACCATATTTCTTTTTCCACTCCTCACTCCTCCATGAACTTTAATTAAGCGTTCTCCCATCTAGAGAGCAAGGCGAGGGTTAGGTTTTGTTTTTGAAAAGACTCGCAAGCTTGTATGGCAGCAGGTTTTTCCACAATTTGACAGCTGCAGTTCAGCTCGATGCCGCTGATTTATAAGACACTGAGCTCATTGGCTTGATCCTCTGTTCTCCCCCAGCCGTTTCTCAATCGAGTTGCACTGGCTGGAAACATCTGAGAAAGAAATTTACTGAGAGATGCACAAACAGCCTATTCACATTTCATAATTTTCGGGAGCTTTCCCCAGAGGACTCAGTGGTAGCCTGTTAACGCAGGCACGACCCCTGGCCAGTGTCCCTACATCCCGTCACCCCACTCACTGGTGCAGACAATACCCGGGTCCCCTCCAAACTCGACTTCTTTGACTCTAATGCTAAGTGATGGAGCTAACACAGCACATGCTGTTCTCAAATCTTGCCCGGCCTCGCCCGTGACAGCAGGATTAGACAGGGAAATATGGACGGAAGGCACCCAATGGATTTAGTGATTTAATTGTCTGAGCACTTAAAAATTCAGGATTAATGCCACTTTAAGTGTGGCTGCTCCTTTCTCATTAACAGGAATCTGTTTAAAATAATTCACTTGAATAAAGACTTAATGGAGGCTCAGAAGAATGTCTTTGTATGACTCATCTACCTCCTCTTTCCCCTCTAGCCAGCCCCTCTCCCCAGATCAATTTGGTCTTAACATTCAGAACCTCTAATCTGAAATCAGCATTTCCCACGAAGCTCTCCATTTGTGCTTGAAGTAATTTGCAATGGCCACTTTCTGCATCTTGTTCTCAGACGTGTCTTGGTCAATTAGTGCAATGTCACAGCCATGTGTAGTTATTCTAACTCCAGCTGTGAGCTGTTAATAATAAACTTACCCACAGGACAATCATGCCATATGGTTGATGGTCAATCAAGACTAAAATATGCATTAGGAAAAAAAATGCTCCTGTCAACAGTGAGGGGGTGTAGGTCATCGGTTAAGGATGTTGGCTCGTCAGAACCGAGTTTGGGTTAATGGTGTATGCCCGACATCCTTACCTTGCTCCCACCCTATGATATTTGTCCTGAGACACAAAGGCATGATAGCTGAAATGACACAGCTGGAATCAGAAGACAAGTAGACAAAACATGGTGAGATGTATAATATAGGTTTGGGAATAGGGATTTGTTGAGGAGAAACATAGCTCAGATCCTCTACTAGGAAAAGGAGACAGAGCTGCATTTTGATCGTGGGAAATGATTTGTATGCTACAAGACAAATTCTATTTAATGGGGGTTGTGAGGCAAATAAAAACAAACTGATTTGTGGCAAACGAGTGAAAGAGGAGCAATAACCCACTTGGGTGATTCCAATTAACTTCCTCCACAGGACTGAAAGGCTTAAGGGTATGTGGCTTTGGTTTTGAATTGTGGGTTTGGGGCAGGGTGTGAGGAGGGGGGATGTGGAGGCTCTTGGTAAATAGTTTAACCTTGACTTGTGCTCCTAGCCATAGCTACCCCAGTAGAAAAGCAAATGGCAAGGCCAATAGAGCATATACTTGTTTCAATGGCAGAACTAATACTTATACAGGTCTACATCTGTTTCACCAGAAATGGCCAAGAACCAGGGTAGAATGGTGTTCCCTAAGTAAATAGCCATGCCAACTGCTTCATTCAGTTGTGCTTTTTAGACTGTGTGCTTGTATGTTCACGTGACAAGTTCTTAATATAAGATCTATCATGAATATCTCTTGATAATGCATGAGGGGCCAGACCATGAACAGCATCCAATCTCTACACCACAGCAGTTTCTAGTCAATATTTCTTTTTAAAAAAATTTTTTTCTTGTCAATATTTCTAAACTGGACACCCAGGTTCAATCAGGTCATCGTCTCCTTGGAATTTAAACAATTCCCTGCCAACTCCTAGCAAAGAACCTCCTTTTCCCTCTCCTACTTTCTTTTATCTTTTTTTTTTTTCTCCTCCTGATCAAGGAGTGAAATGATTGCATTCCCACGGAGGCTTCTTTTCTATAAAAAGGAGGAAGTATTTCTCCCCACTAAAAAGACATTTTCATTGCCATTCGAAGGGTAGTCTTGAAATAAAAATCTTATTAAAAGCCAGGAGTCCTATTTTCTTGCTGTGGAGCCTGACTTGATTGCTTGATAATTAGAAGCGCCCTGCTAATGATTGAGCTAGGGGGTCCTCTTCAGTGAGGGAGGGCCCCCTAAAGGGCCCCCTCACTTGTGATTACACTTTTGTCTTTGAGAAGGGAAACTATTCACTTCTCCTCCCTGCAGGGGAGTCTAGGGAAGACGCCCCGTCAGGGGACAAACACACATATACGTGCACACACGCACACGCATGCACACACTTGTTTAGACCAATTAGTTGATCGCTAAGGGGTCACTGACTTTTCTATCATTCTGAAGCTATTTCACTAACTCAGCATTTCTCAACTAGGATTGCTTTCGCCCTCAGCAGAAATTCGGCAACATCCGAAGATGTTTTTGGTTGTTAGGACTTAGAAGAAGGATGCCTTCTAAGGGGCACAGAGCACATGGCATGCCCCTCCCTCCAGTCATCTAGCCCAAAATGTTAATAATGCCAAGGTTGAGAAATACTGCACTATCTTGATTAACTTAATTTGAGCCGATAGGTAGATCTATGGATTTAGATTCAGAATGAAAGCAATGAGGCAAAGGGCTGCTGAATTCCTCATTCATCATCCTCACTTCACCTACCAAAGGGCTGTGCCTGATTCACCCCAACTCCACCTATGTGAGTTTTCTCTGTGATATTGGAAACCAGGGCTCAGCCAACTATAGCCTAATGAGCTGCTACCTGTTACCATATACCCAATGAGCTTCAACTGTTTTTTACATTTTTAAGTGGTTGATAAAAAATAAAAAGAACATTTTGTCACATGTGAAAATTATATGAAATCTACATTTCAATCCAGCACAGTTATCTTCATTTTGTTTGTAAAAGGTGCTCCTTTTACAACCAGGTGGCAGAGTAGTTGCCACAGATTGTATGGCCCCCAAAGCCTAAAATATTTCCTATCTGGCCCTTCCCAGAAAAGGTTTGCCGACCCATACTATAAAACCTAAGACCAGTTATGTGATCTGCACACCAGACTCGATGATTCCTTGGAGGTAACAGATCCCATGAGTGACTGGGTTATGTGCCTAATAACATTGCAGTATTTCTGCAGATAATACTCTCAGATCTCATCAGATTGGTAGGAGGCACCTCAATATGAGTTGTTTTCCTAATCTTCCCACTCCATTATAATTTTCATCATTGTGGTTTTCATCTCCTTCTGCTTCCCCAGCTTTACCCTGGATCTGGGGCAGGAAAGTAGCCGTAGAAGGGAGGAAGGCCTGGATTATCCTCCTTTTGAAAGGGATCCTTAGCCTTGAGTAATAGAGAAAACTGCATTGAACACTAACCATGAACTTTCAAATATCCCGCCAAGATGATTGTACCCTTATTCTTTCAGAATTTCTCTTTGGGGCCCAAGAAAAATGTCTTTCTGCAGCCCCAGCAAAAAATGGAGTTTAGGGACATTGGCACACACAACATAGACAAAAAGAGATTAGCTGGAACAGGATTCTACGAACGCAGGGGCTGTTGCTGTTTCACCTCACCAATTTAATACCAAAAGGAATGCAATTCAAAAACCCTGCTCCTAGTCCTGTGTGTGCCACAGGGGTTAAGCACCATGGCCCACCACCCATCCACCTACCCACACACACATTCTAGTTCAGAGACATGACATGGACACACATGGGAGTGAATCCAGAGGAGCAGAAATCAGTTTTAGATTTGGAGGTGATGATGGCAGTGATGAGGAGGAAGACTAGGAGGGGGCATCACATTTACTGAGGTGTCAGGAAGTATTCTGGCCCCTTTCCATACATCCACACAGCGATTTGCAGTGTTGATAGACCCATTTTATAGATGGGAAAACTGAACTCCAAGAAGTGACTTATCTAAGGACAGAGAGCTAATAAAGCTGTGGAACGAGGATTCAAACCACATCCATCTGACTGTTCCTTTCTGTGGTGAGGGAATCCTTCACTGAAGAGGCAGGAT